GCTTGGGTGGGCCTTTCGCTCGGGCATTGGATTGGAGCGACCTTAAGGGATCGTCCTACTTGTCAATGCCCAGTGAAATGAAACGAGGCCAGCAGTTGTCCCTACCTTGGACGGGACACCACATGGACTTACACATTCACCATCACATCGCGTTCGAACGGCCCTACTAGCTCTTTCTATTTGCCCATGCTAGGTTCAATGGAATGATACCACTGAGGTATCCGACCATGGGCCGTTCGCTCGACTAGACATTTGCAAGGAGGTACGTCTCTATTTTTTTCATTTTTTGGTAAGGTATCCTTGGGACGGGATTTCATGGGTAGAATTTCTTGAGGTGTTTCACATTCCATACTCCTGTCCGGCATCTAGTCGTTGTTTGTAAGGCGAAGGTTCCGACCGTGAATTTTTGCCAGACTTGTACGGGCCTTCCAGTTTTTCGCTAGCTTTTCGCCTTCAAGCGGGTTGCTCTTTTCTCTCTTTGTCAACACCGAGTCCCCGATTTCAATCTGCAGGACCTTGAGTACTTTGTCAAAATATCGTTGTGTCGCTGGATGATATTCTTCCACTTGCGAGGTGGCCAAATCCTTTCGTTTCTCTACGAAATGGAGCTTGGCACATTGAGATTCTTCGTTCTTTCTAGGTCGAAATGCTCCACCCGGTGCTTAGGTACTAAAACCATGGTCGAAACCTTGGCCTGAAAATCGTAAGATAGGGCGAACGGTGTTTCCCCGACTGTTTGGGAATTCCAAAGCAGCATATGATTTTCTGCTAGACAAAATGTTGGCACTAAAATTCCGTGATGTTGGCTAGGGGATCAACCTCGCTGCATTTGATGAAGTAGTCTATCTCGACGATAATGTACTTCCTTTCATCAGACGCCATTGGTAGGAGTCCAAGTAGGTCAATTCCCCATTTGGCGAATAGTCGGAAGATAGTAATGGGTGTGTAGAAGCTGGCTGACCAACCCGGGACGGGAGCGTATTGCTGGCATACGACGCCCTTTCATATATCATGGTAACAATCATGCTGAATGGTCGGCGAATAGTATCCCTAGAGGCAGTGGCGGACCGAGCATGGGGGCAAATGGGGGCAGTTGTCCCCCCAAAATTTTATTTTCCTAGGTATATTTACCCCGAAATTTTAAAATATATGTATTTGTATGTATATTTTTACACTGTCGCCCCTCCTAGCGGAAATTCTTGCGTCCGCCGTTGCCTATAGGATGATCTTCTGTGCAAGCTTCCTCGACCCCTGGTGGCTCGAACAGATGCCCTCATGGATCTTTTCCATGACCGGATTGACCGCACATGTTATACCGGGGTGGTATGCCCCACGTATCATATACTAGTATCTACCAGGGTTTTAAATAGCGGCCCGCTACCGCTATAGCGGCCGCTATATAGCGGTCGCGGTAGGGGCCGCTACCGCTACGGCCCGCTATTCCGCTGTGAATTCCAAATCACGGGAAAAACCCGCTACGCCGCCCGCTACAACCCGCTATTGACATTTCCGGCAGTACACCACGAACGGGTTGATGTGTAAATGTGTCTATGTTGTGTAAATGAACTCTTAATGTTATAAGTGTTCAAACAAATATTCACAATGTTTGTATTAACTTCAACACTCATTAAATATATGTTTTGCGCAATTGAAAATATTTCACGTCGCTGCAATCGCTACAGGCCGCTACCGCGATGACCGCTACCGCTGCCGCTACGGCTATTTAAAACCTTGGTATCTACTATCGTATATATACATGTGTACATGAATGCTTGTGTGTCTATATATGTATATAATTATTTTGGACATTTTAATGTTAAATGGTGTTTTAAGTCCTGTGAAATAAACATGAGTTTATAACACTGCTTATTTTACACGCCACTTACTAACACAAATTTTAATAAGCACCGTTTAGTAATTTGTGAAGTAAACGTTCCGTCAATTGGAGAGTTTATTTAAAGAGGAAAGTAGTATATTAACAGAGGCCGGCCGGCGTTGCTAATTCTTCATTTCACACTGTACTGGAAATAAAGTTGCGGAGTTTACGTTGTAAGAACTAAAAATATGAGTCCTTAGCTTTTTACCTTGTGGGTACTGGGGTTTTACGGTCTTCCATTAATTCCCAGTCGTTCTTTTTTAGATTCCTAGCTTCTATCAAACACAAAATCAACACAAGAAAATTTTTCCTTGTAAAGTTCACCACATGAAAAGGCATTCAACATTGGAAGTCTCTTTTTACCATATTTTCCTCTCCTTGGTCAGTGCTCTTAATTATTATATATCTTAGGTCTACTGTCTACACATACACACATATTGCACTTTTTGTTGAATAAAATGAACAACAATTTAGCTTTAGAGGAATGTGATAAGCGGGGATTTCAGTTTGTATATAAAACGAAGCAATTCTTAATTAAAGTCTCTCACAAAACTAGCTACCCGGCCATTCCATTTCATCAGTAGCTAGCTAGCCAGCACTTGCTTGAATTGGGTGATTTGGTTTTGGGGTTGAGGTAACTGATTATACTCAACTCGATCTTAACTAACATGTTGTTTATTTGGATTGTTTTTTACAACTACGTACCACTCCTAACAAATAAAGTTGGCCTGTTACACATTTTGTTTTGTAGTATAAAAGTCAGTGTTGTTCCGGTAGGTCATGTTGATGTGAATTTGATTTCCGGGTGGACTGATCGAGTGAAAGTATGATGATGTTTAAAGTGCGGTTGGGAGCTTTTGTGTTGATCATATGTGGTTTGATGCCTGGTGCAATAGTAGGTACGTACGTAATAATTCAACTAACCCCTCCCTCCAGCACCTGCAATGAGAATCGTTTGTATAAACTGGGCGGGCTTAAATTAATTGATCGAGTGGTTTGGTCACTTATATGACTGACTGGGGAAAAAAGAAGAAAATTGCTAGCTGATCAGCTGCCCTGTATGATGTATTGTTTCTAAGTTTAGAATATCTACATGGTTTTCTTTAAACATGTGGGACCTTCTCATACGAATTTATACTTTGGTTTGAACATTATACGGAGTATATAAATAGTGCTGTTCACATAAAAAATAGTGTTTCCGCGAAAAGTAGGAACAAGTGCATGCACTTTTACTCGAACATGGTATGCTTGTCTTTGAATGTTGCACTTTTGTACACTACGCAGCTAGTATTTAATTTCGGAAATGTCATCACGTTTTTGATCAATTTTAATGCATTATCGACAAATTTATTTTTAATTTGAAGAGAGGTTTTTTTTAACCAGGACATATATATACTTGTAATGAGGTATTGGACATTTGTTGACTCAAATCTCAGTGGTGCGTTAGGAATTGATGTAGAAGGCGTAGGTATGTTTGATGAATTGGGATCCTCTGCCTTATGGCAGAGTGCCTTGCTCAATTGAAGGGCCAAAATTAAAATTTAGGACCTTGAGATTGGTGCAGAAATTGACCCACTCAACCTATGCCATGGATTTTCTGATGGGAAATTTACCGAGATATGACTAAAACTCAATGAGTTTCTCAATCTATGACCTAACTAGTTTTTATACCTTTGTATGACCGAAAATCCAAAAACAAATAGAAAATTCGTTATATTTAAATGTTGAATGACGAAAATACCCTTATTTAAAATATGTGCATTTTGCACTAATTGCGTCCAATTAAAATTAATGCACTTTATATTGTCGTTACTGCACAAAATTAATGCACGTCTTTACTGCACATCCGGTAATAATCACTGCACTTCCGCCAAAATTAATTCTCTTCTCATTATTTTCACTTGAGGAATTTATTTCTGTTTTTATTTTTTATTTTTTTGGATTTAGTAATTTTATTATTTTACCTCTAATTGAGTATATTGCATTTCATGATGATATCATTACTCTGTGTTACTACAATATCGGTCATAATCAATTCACAACAAAATTTCTTAATGCATTCATTCACTGCCATGTTCAATACGTCTATTACCATATACATTCACGGTCTACAACACTTATTGAAATACGGAGTATTTAGTGATGGTGTTCAATGCCCATATTTAATGCCCAGAACCTAATCTAAAAAAAAATAGAAAAATTAAAGAAAAATGAAAATGATGGCAGGCGAGGCTATATTTTGAAAAAAAAAAATGCAGTGGGGTTGAAATCTAATTAAAAATGAATTGAAGTGTGTGGTGTCCATTCAAATTTTACGGAATATCCCATATAAATCATCTTTAATATTACTCTCTCAACCCTAATAGCAACTCCTGCGTGGCGGCGCCTTCATTTTCTCCGGATCTCACCTTGCCTCATCTATTCTTCAGTAGCATGTAACTAATGCAGCCATGCGCTGGATGCCGAAGGAGGAGAATGGCTATGAAGCGGCGGGCGGGCAGCTACGTGACATGATGGAGGAGCGTAGCGGCGACAGAGCTCCTAGGCCCGCGATCTGATCTGTGGAAGGCGGCTGCGATGGACAACAGGCGGCGATGGTGATCACTCACGATGTCCAGCTACGATGGGAGACGCGCTAGTCGCCGGCGGCAGACGGAGGACCAGGGACGGCGGCGGACAGATTGACGAGGACGGCAGAGGCAGGGGCGTGCGGTGGGGATGGGAGGTGGCGGAGCTTGGGCGTGGGAGATTGGAGGTTAGGGTTGGAGGAAAAAGAGTAGGAGATTAGGATTTTATAGGTATTTGTTAAAGGGTATATTTGTCAACAAAAAATATTTATTATTTAATTATCACGAATTTTAATTAAATATTTCAAATTTTAATATTATATTGGGAAAAAAACTGGTTAAGTCATACTATCCTCCGTTCTCTTTTAATCGCAACATTGGACTTTTTGCACTATTCACATATTCTACTTTGACTATATTTTATTCATTAATGTATTATAAATTAATTTTTTTAAAAAAAATATTAAATTCTTCTCATTCTAAATTTTCAAAATATGAATTTTCTGAATTTTTTACTAATAAGGAATGAAAGATATTAATGGTCAAACTTGTGCGTTGGCAAACGTAAAATGTTGACTGTTGCAATTAAAAGAGAACGGAGGAAGTATATTGGAAAACTCATCTTGTTTTAATCATACCCAAGGTAATTTACTCATTTTCTGATCTAAAGGCTCACAATGGCCCGGCACTCTCCTTGCTTGCTAACGGCAGAGGAGCTGGATCCATGTTTGATATTGGCAGTTAAGGTCATAGTGAAATCATTGATGGGATTGAGATTGAAAGATGGGTTTGAGGAATATGCATACATGCATACATACATATATTAGGATCATTAGTTCGTACATGCAATTTACTAATGATGGGAATTGGTTTGGATGGCGCAGGTGCGGCGGCGGCGTTCGTGGGGGTGAACATAGGGATGGATATGGTGAAGAGGCCTTCGGCGACGGACGTGGTGGCGCTGCTGAAAGCTCAACAAATAAATCACGTGCGCCTATTCTACGCCGACGCAGCCCTGCTCAGGGCTCTGTCCCACACGGGGATCAAAGTGGTGGTGGGCGTGACCAACGGTGAGGTGGAAATGTTCGCGAGAACCCCCTCCAGAGCTGCCCGCTGGGTCAACGACATGGTGGCCGCTCCCATCGCCGCTTCCACCAACATCACCGCCATCGCCGTGGGGAACGCGCTCCTCACCACTCTCCCAAGCGCGGCCGGCCGCCTGGTCCCCGCAATGCGCCACCTCCACAAAGCCCTGGTCTCCGCCAACCTAAGCGACGCCGTCAAGATCTCCACGCCTCAATCCACCGACATCATGAGCGCGCAGTTCCCGCCGTCCGCCGCGTCGTTCAATTCCTCCGCCGTCGTCCGCGAGGTTCTGGAGTTCCTGGAGAGCACGGGGTCGTTCTTCATGCTCAACGCCTACACCTACCACAGCTATGTGGACTCCCGCGGAGTCTTCCCCGTCGAGTACGCCCTCCTGCAGCCCGTCTCGGAGGCGCAGCGCATCTCCGATCCCAACACCGGCCTCCTCTACGAGACCATGCTCGACTCCCTGGTCGACGCCACTTACTACGCCATGTCCGCTCTCGGCTTCCGCAACATCTCGGTGGTGGTCGCGGAGACCGGCTGGCCGTGGAACGGCGGCGTGGAGGAGCCGTATGCCACCGTGAGCAACGCGGAGACGTACAACCACAACCTGATCCTCCGCGTTTCGAACGGGTCGGGGACGCCCAGCCGCAGGGAGCTTCCCCTGAACGCCTACATCTACGAGCTGTACAACGAGGACGGCATGCCGGGGCCAGCCTCGGCGAGGAGCTGGGGAATCTTTTTCTCGGACGGGAAGGCGGTGTATCCTCTGAACCTGAGCGGCGCGGGGAGCGAAGGCGGCGGCTCCGGTGTGAACTCCGCGGCGGGTTATTGTGTGGCAAAGCTGGGAGTGGCGGATAAGGATCTGGTGAAGGGGATCAATTGGGCGTGCGGGGAGGGGAACACCAACTGCTCCGCAATCAGGCCGGATGGGCGGTGCTACGGCCACACTCTGCAAAGCCGGGCGTCTTATGTGTACAACGAGTACTACCAGATCATGCGTTTTTGCGGCGGCTCCTGTGACTTCAGCGGCACCGCAGCCATCACCTTCACTCCTCCTAGTGAGTAGCTAGTACTTCAATTCCACTTTCCCTTTTATCATTCACATCTCCTTTTTCCTAACCCTACAATTTAATTTATACGTACTTTACCCCACTATTTTATCTCCATCCAGACTCATCTTTTCTTTTGGCCTCAGGGTATGGGGAATGCAACTTTACTAAAATGTGAGTGAGTCTATCTAAATGCGCTTATAATTATTATGAAACAAAAAAAAAAAAAAAAAAACTAGTGTGATATAATGCATCAGTTTCAATCTGAGCTCTAAAACAAACACCTTTATATTTGTGGGCTACAGATTAAATTCAAGCGCAAGTATTTGCCCGCCACCAGGATCCTCAGATCCCACAGTTCCCTTTGCTGAAGCTACAAGAATTCATTATCCCGATGGCAACTGTATCATAGTAATATTGTTAGCTCTCACTTTCCTTCAATTCCTGGTGTAATTTTGGAGGTGTCTGCATCTTTGTTCATTATTTTTCCTGTGTACAAGTACTTTATGTCAAGAGTTTAGGCTATAATAATTATTAGATCATCTTGTTATTTCAAAAGTTCATTAGTTACTCTTTAGTTTCATTCATTTTTCATCTTTCACCTAGCAATACTTCATTTCACTCTACCTGAATTGTTATACTCCGTATTTAATAGATATTGTCAAACATGTGTGCTCTACAAATTTGTTATTTTTAATAGGTATTGCTCTCAAAGGTAAAATACTTGTATCCCTCATACTACTACATTATAAGACGTACAATGTACTTGATTGCTTCTAAACTTTAGAATTTACGATTACTTGAATCGAAGATACATGACAATGCTCTAACACTAATAACAACCGTTCATAGTGTAGAACGCTCTTCCCTCTTTATAGAACAGGCAGAGCGCCACGATCAATTGCATCAGCACGCTGGCATAATTACTGGCACCGCGTACCCACGATCTAACAAGTTTTTATACTCGCCTATGAACCCATTAGAGCCCAAACCAAAGTCTACTTTAAAAACAACTCCATTCATAAAATTATAATGGTAATGCTAATAATAATTAATGGCATGCTAGATTTTGAGTTCGAAGAGTTATTCAAGCCGAGTTCGAGTTTAGTGATGTTCGGTTAGATCCGAGCTCTGTCAGATAAATTATACGTATAACCTAATTAAAACAGAAAAATTTGGGCTGGGCTGGAGCCCACCCCTGCCCTCGCTATGATCCGCCCCTGATTAATGCTAATTTTCATTGCGGTAATTGGCCCTCATTGTGGATATGTGAGCATTGTACTACAAGTGTTCGTACTAGGTATGACTTTGGAGAGAGCAAAGTGGAGGGCGGGTATTCATGTGGAGGAGTGATCTCGTGTTTTCTTTTCCTCTCATTTTTTCTTGTTTTTTTTATCCTTTTATCCTTATATATATACAAACATTATTTTTATCCTTTTTATTTTATCAGTATTAGGCATATTCATTTCTTTTTATATTATCTTTTTCATAATAGCTTATCTTTTTATCTTTATTTTCTTTCTTTTCCTTTTGGTGGTGATATCATGTATCGATTCATGTTAGCCAACCCCAATATCTTTTGGGACTAAGACTTGGTTGTTGTTGTTGTTGTTGTTGTTGTTGGAACGGCCCGATACCCACAAGGAAAAGGGGATGCCCAATTCTCGTCTAGAGGACGCGATGCCCGTCGACCCCACCTTGGCCCTTTGTGAGCGGGACAATCAATCAAGGGGCATGAGGATTGTACTACAGCTGTTTGTACTAGTTATGGCGGGTAAGGCTTTGGAGAGAGCAAAATGGAGGGCGGGTATTCGTGTGGAGGAGTGATCTCGTATTTTCTTTTCCCCTCATATTTTCTTGTTTTTTTTATCCTTTTATCCTTATATATATAAACATTATTTTTATCCTTTTTATGTTATCAGTTTTAGGCATATTCATTTCTTTTTATATTATCTTTTTCATAATAGCTTATTTCTTTATCTTTATTTTCTTTCTTTTCCTTTTGGTGGTGATATCATGTATCGATTCATGTTAGCCGACCCCAATATCTTTTGGGACTAGGCTTGAATGTTGTTGTTGTTGTTGGAACGGCCCGATACCCATAAGGAAAAGGGGATGCCCAATTCTCGTCTAGAGGACGCGGTGCCCGTCGCCCCCACCTTGGCCCTTTGTGAGCTAGACAATCAATCAATGAGCATGGGTGGAGACGCCCAACATGGACCAAGTGGCGTCTTGGCCTTGTGCTTGCATGGATCTAGAACCAGGAAGCCTTCCGAATACGAGTGTCCAGGGCATTTGGCGGGAAAACATGATATTGGCGTGAAACACATTAAATACACCAGATATGCAGGATTTGGTGGTTGAGAAGCTAGCCACTCTTGGTCCTCCACATCATCACTACCATCTACCTCATATAGCAGCATTTATTTCACAATGAGGGGTTGAAAACTTGTATTTGTTGGGATTTAACACACGCACAATACGAAAAACAATAAGAAAACACGAGAGTTTGGTTACCTAGTTCGTCAAGAAAGACTACGTCTGCGGGCGCTACCAAGCCAAGATGTTACTATTTTTTCTGATGCAAATTACATTGACAGGGCAGGTATTTAAAGAGAATGTAACTGTAACCCTAATGTAAAAGCTTGTGGGCCCTAAATATAAAAGACCCAAAAAATTACGGTCTCTACATCTTAAGTATTCTCTAGCAATAGCTCCTATTCCCTGTATTTGTAGCTCAGAATAGGCAATCGGCCCCGGCCTTCAACAAGATGTGCTGTAATTGTTCTCGATTGCTTAATAACAGTGGTGATCCTACAAAAACCAAAAACTCGGGCCTGAGTCGAGCTTCATAAAAGGGCCCTGTACATAATATTTGTTTTGTAATACAACATATTTAGAAATGGAGAATTAATATCACAAAACCTCAATACTTAAATAAAATTCTTACATTATAACATCATCCTCATCATGACCTCAGTGCCGCAAAGGCTCCCACTAACGGTGGGGTAGGGGGAATCAGATGTACACAGCCTTACCCCTGACTAAAGCACAGAGAGACTGTTTCCGAATGACCCATAGTGAAAAATGCGTCGAATATAACATGGACTGACTGCTGCTTCATAACAAAGAAGCGCAGACAATTTAGTGAGACATCTTGCTTTATTCCATCATTTTTGCAAGCCGAAAAATAGTAAGTCTTTGGCTCCATTGCAAATGACAATGGAGCCAAAAAAATAAAAAATAAAAAATAGTGAGTTTTTGGATCCATTCACAATTTTGATTAATTTTTTATTGAAAATTACACAATTTTTTATCGTGATAGTCTTAAAAAAAATCTCAATTCTCAAATATAAAAATTTCACTTCCAAGGCATGACCCTGCTTGACTACTTTATAAAACAAGAATCAACTTTCTTTTAATTTTTAAGGAGGTGTTTGAAACTGATTCTGTTTCTGCTTCTTTTTTGGGAAAAATTGAAAATAATAATCCCAACTATTGCCGGTCCGCTGATAATAATCCCAACAATTGATTATTTTTGTATAATCCCAACTATATGGACCGTCCGTCAATAATGGTCCATGACAAGATATTACCTCCTAAAAAAGTGAATTTTAAATAGAAATTAAGTGTAAAAATTAAAAGTTGAGATTATGTATAGGGATTACTTGCTATATCCCTCTTCATCCACTTCAGAAACTACAAAAATTTATTTATAGGGACCATTATTGGCGGAAGGTCCCTAAAGTTAGGATTATTCTGAAATAATCGATAGTTGGGATTATTATAAGCGGACCGCCAATAGTTGGGATTATTACTATCAATTTTTTCTCTTTTTTAAAGCAAAATTAGAATCAGTTTTCAGAAGCTGGTCTCCCCCGACTTCTAAACAAACTGATTCTAGGAGTAAATTAGAGCACCAGAAGTACTTTTGTACTTTCACCCAAACACTCCAATTTCTACTTCTGCTCTCTGAAGGAGTAGGAGCAATTTTTAGAATCAGATCCAAACACCCCCTGAACATTTGTTTATGCAGATACTTCAAATCCCAACCATTAATATAAGATTTAGTCAAAAGTTATAGCAAATAGAAAATAGAAATCAATAAGTTTGTTCATTCGATCATTCACAAATCAATAATTCATCAAATAAGAAAATCATTCTAAAAGCTAGATTTTTGGAAATAACATATGGGCAAATTTGGGAGTTCGTCTTCATACTTCACTACTTGGTTGATAACTCTATTGTTCCGCATGTTTTGTTATCTATGTAACAGACGATTTAAGCTAAACAACCAGTGTAGCTCTTGTAATTTAAATACATATATATAGTATATAATATAAATGTATTTCAATTTTGGGCCCATAGTTTTATTTTTTTTGGGGCCCCGAGGCCCATGCCTCACTGGTCTAGGAGACGGACCGACCCTTCTTAATAAGAACTCGGGCCACTTACCGTCTTCCTGTTATTGTTGAATATATGTGCCATCTTACTCGTCTAACTCACTCACATATCCATTGAAACCAAAGGGAAGGTGTTGGACCCTTAGAGTTGGAGGGATTAACCTCAACACTGGCGTCATCTGTGAGAAACTGAACAAGAATATCCCGAGCAAGCTCTTGCACTAAGCAGCACCTTCGAGCTCTTCAAACAAACAATATTTAAAATTGACTTTTCTATCAATCTTTGTAATCGAAGTATGCTGGCTAGACTGAAAGGTAAATTTTATCGAGCAACAATTAGACTTGCATTAATGTATAGCGTAGAATGTTGAACAGTGAAGCAATGTCATATTCAAAAGATGAGTGTATCAGAGATGTGTATGTTGTGTTGGATGTGTGGACATACTATAAAAGACCGCTTGAGGAATGCGATAATCAGACAAAAGGTGGGAGTAACATCTATAGAAGATAAGATGCAGGGATCTCATTTGCGGTGGTTTGGTCATGTGCGTAGAAGACCGATTGAGCAACTGTTAGATGACTTGAAAGATGGTGAGAAGAGGCTGGGGGAGGGGGAGGGGAAGACCCAAACAGAGTTGGATTAGAGGAATTAGAACTGATATGCGTCTTCTTGGGTTGGACGAGAGTATGGTTTTAGAGAGAGCAAAGTGGAGGGCGCACATCTATGTGGACGATTGATCTCTTTTCTATCTTTTCTCTCTCATTTTCTTTTGTCGTTTATCTCTTTTATCTTTTTATATTCTTATGTTATTTTTGTCTTTTAACTTTTTTATACCCTTTTATCTTTCTTATGTTCTTATGTTATTGTTATCTTATACTCCTATTTATCTTTAGCTTATTTGTTCTATCTTACTTTATTATTACTCTGTATCATTTTTCTTCTTATCTGTCTTCTTTTTTTGCACTGATATCATGGTTCGATTCATGTTAGCCAACCCCAAAATAGTTTGGGATTAAGGCTTGGATGTTGTTGTGCACACGTTACTCCGTATTTTTGTAGAATTGCACCTTCTGTGCTACGTTTGGATGGAGTGTGCACCTGAGAAGTAGCTCACCTGGTAGGAAGTGAGTGTCTCAAAAGAGAGATCAGATTGCTAGGTGTACACATTTTGGTGTACACCTTTCGTACACCCATCTATCTCACACACACATAATTGTCTGTCTATAAACAATTATGTGTGCGTGAGACACACGAGCGTACGAAAGATGTGCATCAAAACATGTAGACCAACCATTTTTGAACTTAACTTAGGGGATGTATAATTGAATATGGATTATGGTGGACTTTTTTTTTAGTCCATGGACTTTTAAATCCATGGATTTTTTTATGAATGAATTCTATTGACTTTTAAATCCATAATAAGTTTATAAACTTTTAAAAATTTCAGACTTTTAAATCCAGACTGCCACGGCAAGTCGTCAGAATTTTCACTTAGACCGCCGCTACCGATTTGCCTGTCTACCTCCGTCACCGGAGTTCACAGCCATCGTCATCAGATTAATCCGCCGCCAACAAAATGACTTTGATTATACAAGAAAAATAGGGGCAATTGATTATATGAATTCACTAAATTAGGAGTAGAAATGTAATATTTAGTCCTATTTAAGGAAAATAAAACATATGATCATACTTTAGGGAAAATGTTGTGTTTTAGTCCTAGCGTGAGTAATTTCCTATGTGTAATATGATAAAAAAAATTAAATAAATAAATGAAACAAATGTAATTCATCCAGCAACACAAAGTTCTACAAGAATAAATGAAACATAAGAATTCAAATTTATTTTTATTAAAAAGAAACTCAACGTTCTAAAAATGCTCGACAATCTCGATTTATATATGATCAATTGTTATATTACACAACTCAATGAGTAAGAACATTGGTCATTACACGAGCGTTACACTCATTGCTACATGTGGTAAGAGCATAAGTGTCATCGAACTTTTCTTCTAATTTTTTTTTTTGAATTTTAGCTTGTTAAATTTTGTATGCTTATTTACGGTTTAATATTTAGTAATTTCAAATTATATTTTTATGTGTTAGCGGTTTAACGATGAAACATCAATAGTTATTTTTTCTTAATGATTAACTGACAACTTACCAGAATTGCACCGATGTAACACTATCGATTCTTACATCGGTTCTTCTAAAAACTTATAACGGTTCTTCAAATGCTTCCTAATTTTCTTTCAAGAACTGAACTAATCTCACTCCTAAATATAAAATATCACCTTTTATTTTTTTTTAAGAAATTTAAAAGATAAGTTTATCTTGTGTATCGGTTTTACTGTAGAATCTCCTTATTCAACTTTACTTATCGTAAAATTATAGAAAAATCAAAATTTAATGTTCAAATCAGGCATACTAAGACCATCCCGGTACCCACCTCCCATCCCGGTCAGTACTAGTCCATGACTGGTTGGTCGGTTTGTGATTCTGGGTAAATAATTAGCTAAATCTGTAATCACATATATGCGTATTTGTGACGAGTAGAAGACAACTAGAAAAGTTCACGGAAATCTTTGGTGAGGAGAAAAGACAATTGGAGAGAATTAATGTACTAAGAATGAGTTAAAAGTTCACGAAAATCTGTGATTTTAGAATTCAATAAGAATGAACAGAAATTTGAATAGGCCTAGACTTTTATGTATTTTTAAAAGTCTACATTAAATACAACTTTTATAGATTTTTAAAAGTCCATATTGAATACACCTAAACTTTTAAATCTATGAACTTTTACAATTTTGTCACTAATTCCTAATACTTCCTCCGTATTTTAAAGTTTACTATATTTTCCCTTTTTGGTAAATTTTTCCTTTAAAAATACTCAACTAACATTATTTTTTCTACTTTTTATTTTCCCTTTCATACTTTTACGCTTTCTCCTACTATTTCTTTCTTAAATAATGTGTCCAATGGTATTGTAATGAACTTATAAATAAGCAGGGAGTACAATACATCCGTGGATCAGGAGTGATTGATAATGACAGGTAAACAACTAGTCATTACTCGGTCAAATGTTTGGGGTAGGAGGAGCCACGTCTGGATGCGGAAGAGGGGGCAGCGGCGGCGGAGGGCGGTCGTGGCCGTCCACGACATCGGTTTCAGCTTCCGGAAAACGAATACAGAAAGAGATGACGGAGCTTAGCTGGGAGCTTCTGCCCGACTGTGCCGCTGGCCCGAAAGGGGATAATCTTTACCATTGGGTCGCCACTCTCTTCGGCCCCCCTGGTATCTCTTTCTCTCTTTCACCTGTATATGATTGTTAGTGCCAAATGGAAGCATATGGTTTGAAGCAGGAATCGCATCCCTTTAAAACTAAGTGTTAAATATCGAACTACTTGTTTACAGTATTAAAAAAACTACTTGTTTCATCATATCCCGGAAGAAAACGCCTTTGGAAAAGGAAACTTTTTTCTTCTGCTTTGCCATTAATGGCCACGCAAAGAGCATGGGTTTTTCAAATGTTTTAGGCTGCAGGGTTCGACTACATCCTACTGAAATTAGGCGGACCTAAGTGGGGGAAAACTTGATCCAGATGGAGATTGAATTCGGGGACAGCTGTAAATGTTTGCAGTTTGACTGGCCTAACTCCTAGGCTACAAAAACCATATTGTAAAAAGTTGTAATGCCTAGATGGGTTTTATCTGGTACTTGATCTAAGCTTTGGTTCTCTTGGAGTCTGGGAGGGCTTTTACGGTTTAATTGGCATAAGTATTTCGGAAGGGATGGGTGACATTAGTTTATCAAATTATTTCTAAATGAAAAAGGTCAAATATAAAGTGGAGATGACAAATTGACAATGTATATACAAATACATCGTATAATTAATCATATAGATAATACTAGAATAAAAATCAATCCTTCCTCCTCCTTCCCTCCAAAATTCTCGAAACTGAGGAATGTTCCTTGTTTTATTGGGAGAGAAGGTGGAGGAGCTATATGCTCAAACTCTCATGTCACACTCCCAGTTTAGTTTTTTATAGGAATCGGGATGAGTTTTTTCTTAATTTGCTTTACCTTTTTAAACTGAAACTGTTCTGCATTATCCCACTCTAAGTGTGGATTGGTCGGGGTTAAAAGGAGATATTTAGCATATGTGGATTTTGGAAATAGACATTGCATAAATGATGCCTAAACTGTGTTTTGTCACTTGTTGCAAGTGATTGCCATTGTTACTTCTAGCGGGGAAAATATTTAATTCTGTAAGAGTTCTGCTAAAATAACACTCGTACCTTTAAATTTTATAAAGTTTAATTCTTTGATGAAATAAGATCGCATATGAAGTAGTGACAGATAAGGTTCATTCCCTTTTATTGTAACACATTTTTCATCATATTACAAGAGCTGTTGTTAGTACATCTTAGTTGAACCGTGCCCTTTTTTCATAGGGACACCTTATGATGGCGGAATATATTTCCTTGACATAACATTTCCATCTGAGTATCCATTCAAACCTCCTACGGTATGATGAAGATCATAATTTACATTTGAAGCATACTTCTGGTTTACTAGCTATCTGTATAGACTAGTTATGCCATGATCGGTACGTTCCGAGCATTATTTCCGTATTATCAAAATACACACACAATAATTGATAGAATTCATAGTTGGGTCAGAGTCACTAAACTGGGTAGTCAAATCTTATTCAAAGATGGAATCCAATTGGTTGTCTAGTATAACTATGTCTTATAAACCCATGTACCTCTCTTTAATGTTTCATTATGTGACTTTTAACTATAGTCCAATTTGTATGAAAGTTATTATTAAATTGATGTCATAAGTATTGCTATCCATAGCAGAGGGAGGGCGTCCCTAGATCCAAATTTGAACTGCTTCAGTAATATGATGTATCCAAAAAACGTTTAGAGTTTTGTACACATTAATTTACTTTCTTTCAAACTTGAGGTGGACCCGGGTCTGGTTGACTGGGTTGACCCCCCTCCCCTGCTATGCCAGTGTGAGTAAACTAGGATCATTAGGTGAAGGTGGTCTCATTTGAGATAGCCTCAGTGAGAAAGTAATACAATTACCAATGTTTGTAATACTTTTTAGTATTTCAATTGAAAAGTTGTTGCAAATTCAGCTAAAGAGAAGAACCATCTCACCTTGCAGTGAAGCCTGTCATCCTACTTGTAGGTTCTGTTACATTGAGACATTCAGTATCTAAATATATCATAAATGTTTAAATCTTAAGGCTGAAATTTAAAAATAAAAAGTAGGAACACTAAGTATGTCAATTAGGAAAGTGATTCTAGAACATTCATGTTCATGAGGAGGTGACACGTGGCAATGGTCTACCTAATTGTATCCCCCTTCTGGGAATTATTGCATTTCTGTAACTTTGTGCTTCACACTTCCAAGTATAAGACTTAAAATCTGCACATCTGCAGGTTGTTTTCAAAACTCGCATCTACCATTGCAACGTTGATCCTGCTGGCCTTGTTAATTTGGTCATTTTGAGAGATGGCTGGAGTCCAGCTTTAACAATTTCCAAGGTGCTACTTGCTCTCAGATCTATGTTTATGACCCCCGACACATGTAAGTCATTGTTTATGGCCCCCGACAATGTCCAACGTTGATCCTGCTGGCCTATGTCTATGTTTATGACCCCCGACCCCCGACACATGTAAGTCATTGTTTAGCTAGGGGATTTTCGAGGAAGAAAAACAATTAAATGGAGATGCATGATTTAACTAAACCCAAGAGTAGTTAATTTTTTATTCCAAGATTAAGAAACGAGATAAGATACTAAAAGCAGAATGGGATCCTCTCATCCCCTTCAAATTTGCTCGTGCTCAACTGAACATGCCCTAAGAGTTGTAAACAACCGTTAGTAGGAGTGATCGCCATGAGTAAAGGAAGCTGGAAAGAGGATCAGTTTTAGAAAAAAAATCTAAAGCTCCAATACCATGTAGCCAAATGGTTGGATATTTTCAATTACATATAATGAGCTGCTACAAGTGTTTAAGTAGTAGTAGTAATACAAAGTGATAGAGTTAGACTATAACTCTGCTAGGAAGTTAGTTACCACAACTATACAAGAATATTATTTCAATCAAAAGATTAAATAAAATAGATCAAGTCTTATCATTAACAAGTGTTTCATCTAGTTCAACTGAATATGGAAAAAAGGGCATGATGGCGATAAAAGGGGGCATGCACAAACAAAGGAAAATATAATGAAGACTCACTAGTGACTAGTGACTACTGACTAGTGGCGCTACACGTGTGGCTAGAACTTAGATACACTTTCGTATTGGATATAAACAAAGCTTTCATGGAAAATGTTTAATTAGAATTTATTTTCCTCAAAAATATGTTGCTTAATATATTAGGTAGTATATAATATTTGGCCCATAAAATAGGTAACATAAGTCTAAAGAACAGAGATTTTTTTTTGTGAAAATGTCTTCAAATGCCAAAAACAGAAAAATCAGAAAGTGTTTTCCAGGAAAACAAATGGAGCCTAAACTTTAAATAATAAAAATAAGAACCATCATCATGATAATAACAATAACAACAATAATAATCTAATAATTCATATCTGATTTACATGACCTCTTTGTTTCGATTAGTTCTGAGATAGTTTTGTTTTGCATCTTATGTCAATATGTCTGAAAAATAAGTACACTTGGGTAATTAATTAGACCACACGTGGGTATGCACAATCTCATATACTAAAACTATTATTATGGTTGTAGATAATGCCGTTGTTCCTGGTATTGCTCAGTTGTATTTGGTTAATAGAGCACAGCATGATGAACTAGCTGCAGAGTGGACTCAAAGGTTTGCAAAGTAAAATTGGTTGGGACTTGTCTGGATCAGAATACTATTTGCATACCTCATAGTCAGCCTATTGCTTCTCCAGCAATATATGTTAGGAAACGTGCACAAGACTAGAGTAAAAAATACCTGTTTTCTCGGCTGTGATGTGAATAGGTGATTAATTTACTAGCCTGATTGTCACATGTTACAATATCAGGTTCTTTCACACGACTACTGGCCTTGTTGGGTAAAACCCTCATCTGTCTTTCGATTTTTGGGCTGGTTTAAACACTTTTAGCTGCTTTGGCGAAAATTTATGTTTGGTGAATAGAATGTGGGTTCAACACTTCAACTTATATCTCTCCAAAAACCAATTTCACAAAGGCCCAGCAATATCATCTCTTTTTTTGCTAGACTAAATGATCAAAATCACCTTTATTAGTAAAAATTCAGCAGATGGTTTCATTTAGATATAAAAATATATTCTTGATACTGTTCCAATGACTCCCTACAGTGTGTTGGTCCTGAGCTATTTTCAGCTAACAAGTTCATGAGAATATAATATTTGAGTGTGTATGTTTGCCAAAGTACAATAATGCACATATTGCACTTCAATATCGAATCTTGTTGTATATCCATATTTCGACCAATCATGAGAGTGCTAACCGTGTACATTTTTGGATATATGCAACTGTTGAATTAGTATTAAAACAACTCGGTTTTTTCTAAAAATAGGACTGAGCTTCCTCAGATCTTTCATCTCAAGTACGACCTTAAAGTATCCAGAAGTTTCTCATATTACATTATTAGTACATATTAAGTCTGTATCCTCAGACATATGATGATACTTGGAAATTTGAAACTTGTTTCCATTATAAACACATAATGCACCATTCATTTATTTTGCATTCCTTTTTAGTCAAGTGATCACTTAAACGTGTATGTCACTTCATTTGGACTTATTCAATCCAACATTAATCGACTCAATACAATTGTATTATGTGGTGATTAGCCACTCGATTTGGAGTAATAAAAGCATAACATATGTATCTCTTAAAGGCCATATGTATATGGCCACTTTAACCATGTTAACCATTTTATTGAGATTGATAATCACATTTACTTCAATGTTACATTTTGAAGATTAGGAATAAAGGTGTATCATGATGATTCATGTTGTCCAACAGAGGATTCTTTCTCTAATCTCCACCTATGACAAGACAATTGATAGTGCGTATAGTTTTATTACCGGTCGTCTTATAGATTGAAAGAGATGAGATTTTATAAAGGCTCGTAGACATTAATACATATTATATTTAAATGACATCACATTACATATTCTATTTATACAATATTTGTTTTGTTATGCTCTTGCAGTTTCATCAATTAGCTCTTATACGGCCTTTGAGTCATGATTGTTCATGTATATGAATCAATGTTTTTTATCCATTCTTATTTAGCTACTCTAATACTTTGTATTATGATTTTTTAATAAAATATACTTTATTTTTATAGGTACTTTTTTTTACAGAATTGAAACTTATTTATAAAAGTATGACTACTTGTTACCAGGGCCGTCTAATAAATTTGGAGGCCCCAGTTCAAAATAAAGAATTGAGGTCCCATAAAGCAAGAAAATATACAAAATTTAACATTACAATATACATAGACTAGAGTATTCGGTGTTTTATAATGTTTTAAGTACACAAACCAGACAATCTAAAAGTTATAGACCTTTTGAAATCTGAAATAGTACATAATATTAAAAAAATCAACCTCTAACTACTAGTACCTACTATAGGCCCCAATAAGAGTGGGCCCCGGTGCGAAGCACCTATTGCACCTCCTAAAAGACGGCCTTGCTTGTTACTATAGTGTTGAGGTTAAGTCCTTGCGGTCCAAAGACTCGACACTGTCTCATTTAAGATCTTTTATGGGTTTGGTGTATTTAGTGATTGATTAATCAATAATGAAAGCAAAAGCAATTAGAAGGGATAGAGAGGTTAAGTGCACCAAGTTCTATTAATGAATTTAGAACACCATTACTGAGCTCAAGCCCTGATCCTATAATTCTAAGCTTAGAGTTTACAGAAGAATCTAGGGAGAGAAGCTAAACTATTGAATGCAAGTTTGCCAACTCATTATAATGAAATAAATGCATATATTTATACTACAAGGTAGTAGGTGGTGGTGATGTGACAAGCCTTGGGTGGCTAACCTCCAACCATAAAATCTATCATATCTGGTGCATTAAATACATTTTCCGCCAACCTCTTGGTGGAGTGGGCTAGGTGCCTGAAGATAGGAATCTAGGAAACTCATTAAGTGTTATGACCCACTCAGCCCATGGCACCCGACCCATATTGTTGGAGGAGTGGGCTGGGTTTTCTCCTTGAGTCCTTAAGCCTCTTGGCCCTATCTGGGATTGCCCCTCTTTGGGTCATATACCCCAACACAATTCCCTCACTTCTGATGTTTTAGACGTGTGTGGTAAACGAAGTAGAGAATAAGAATCTGTATCTCGCACGTCCTAGACCGCAGGCCCTGAGGTGACAGTATGGTTGATGGTTCGATTTCAATGATTTTAGTCATCATTACCCGCCGCTTCATCTCTATGCGGCACGTGTTTGGGAAAACGCTCCCTGTTATGAGTCGCACTACGATTGGGTACTTTCACGGTGAAACCCCCTATAACATACTACCTCGAATGTATGGTTTAGGGTTCCCCTTCTCCACTCTTTCTCACTAGACTCCAACTCTCACCTCTCTCTACATCACAAAACTTTCTCTAGTGAATTTCTATGGTTGTTCAGGTAAATTTTTTATCGTTCCTTGTTTTTCACCCCAAATTCTTCAGTGTCTACTCGGTCTTCAAAAGTTCTGGAAGACCTTCAGATTTTTGGGGATTCCAGAGTAGTTCGGGAGGATGCAAGCCATACCGCCGCTCATGATGAGGCGGCAAGGGCGAAATCGAGCCTGGAAAGTGGCTCAGGTGTTGATGCATCTTCTGGTGATGATATGGATATTAGACGCCCCCCCCCCAATGATCTTCCACAGCACAGAGTCCTCCTTTCCAATGTGTGAGAACGGGAGTAATACCTAGTGGATCATTATCTTGCGTTGATTCCCATTCTATTGTCGTTGCCCGCCGTATACACCCTCAGGGGAGACACACATCCCATGTGCCACTGTGCGAACATGGTGATGGCCCATGTCAATTCGGTGGATGTCGGGTTGTGCTTCCCCCGTCATCTCTTCTTCATTCAATTCTTTCGCCGCTATGAAGTATAACCGAAATAGTTTATGCCGAACTCATCCAGGCTCATTGCGGGCTTTGTCGTTTAGTGCCGTGAGACCAGGGTGGATCCAAGCCTAGATCTCTTCAACTACTTCTTCATGGTCAGCATTCGTCTCTCGTGACTCTACAATATGAACAAGTCATCCATCAAAGGTTGGAAGTACGGGTTCTTCTTTATTTGGGTTCCTCATAGGAAACTTCCGACCCGGTAAAATGGGTCCTCACCCAAGGTTAACGAGCCCCACATTTTGGAAGAGCTAAGAACAAGATCGCTTTCGTGGAACGCGACAGCGTTTACCATATAGTGGAATATATCACCGCCGAGCGTCTCACCAAAAACGAGATAGGTACCACCCACACCTTTGGATTGCTTGTGGGAAAAACCAAGTGCCAAGGCCTAGGGTGGTTCTATCTCATGCAAGGTGTCTCCCTTTGGGATATTTACTGTCCGGTTCTGACCCATTTTGCTTTACATTTCAGGTCCCACTATGCAAATAACGGCTCAAATGGATGTCGAGCAAATGAAGCAGGTCCGATCTAATATGGCGGAGAAGAAGACGGACACGAAGGGTAAGGCCGCTACATGCTACCCAGACTCATAGATACCAACTCCTCTGCTGCCTGAGCAGCAAGCCTCGGGTGCCGCACGGGCTGCAGTGGCTCTTAACTCTAAGGTCGGTGGGGAGGCCCAACCCTTGGGTGACAATAATGACCCTCTTAGACCCCCCCCCCCTCCACTATGTGTCTGGTTCTCATCCCGAGGATCAACCCTCAAAGTGCCCTTGCATTGAGGAGCATTCACGGTTCAACCCCATTCTCGAAGATCAACGCCTTCTCAGCTCAGCTCCGAGCGTTCTTTGGGAGAACTTCATTTCCCATGCGGGTGTGGACCTTCAGCCCCACTAGTCCATTCTTTCCGAGGAAAAAGTGTTCCTCGCCTGCTTTTAGGTAAATGTTTGACCCCACCCGATGTCATTTTCCACCATAGTTGTTTTCTTATCGATTTTCTCCATGCTTTCAAAATGGGCTCCTTCCCCTCCCGCCGTGGGCTGCCTTGGAGGCGAAGCGGCAGTCGAATGAGGCCCTCACTGCAGCCAACAAGGCTATGGTCAAGGCACAATAAGAAGCAGATGCAGCCGCCCTCCACCTTCGGGAATCTCTAAAAGCCTTGGAGCTATCTTGTCATAAGGTGGCCAATTCGGAGCCAACGAGGGTCACTTTCCTCCTCAGTTCACGATCCACTCAAGAAGCCGCTGAGGTGGTGACAACCGACCTTCCCTGTCCATATATGGTTATCGTGACTTTGAAGATCACTTCAAGGCAGCCACGAGAGAGTTCACCTGAGGTATAACGGTCGAGGTAATCAGCGATGCGCTTTCCCAAGTTGCGAAGCGTGATCGGCTTGCAACCGGTGTGAAGCTTATGTTCACCACCTCCCTGGGGAAGCGCTTTAGTGAGTCATTGGCCACTGAATCCTTCTCCCAGGGTTATTGAGAGGCCGTCAACGTACTGATGCCCATCTTGGTGAAGCCACGTCCAAAGACTCCGATGACAACTTGACTAACCATTTAGGTCTCCTTTTTTCCACTATATTCGCCCCCATGTCCAACTGCTCAAGATCGTCTGTCTCCAATCCCTCCATCAACTTGGATGTTATGGACATTATCCGCAAAGGTAGCAAACCCAAGAGTGATAAGGGATCATTCGACGATGGGTCCTTGTCTCCCTCTTACTCTGGCTCGTCCCCTGGCCATTCGGAGGAGCTCCCAAAGGAGGGATGTCTTTTAGGTGATGACCACGAACCCTATAGGCGCGGGATGCCAGCCCAGCCCCCTCGGTTTGCCATTATCATCTCGGTCATTCGTCGCCAATGGCAGAAGTTATCGGCCGAGCTCATCGACCAGATAGCCCCGCCCCTTCAGGTTTGGTCGGTGACTTTCATTCGCCACCCTATGAGGAATCGTAATGGCCATGTTTTGGTTCATCTTGATTCAGTCTTGGCCGGCCTAAGGCCCCCTTGCACCCATTCGTCGTCAAGTTCCTTCGCAAGTTCTCTTTGGTACACGCTCAATTCAAACTTGATGTCTATCAAATTATTGCGACATTAATCATAAGGTGACATGGTGGAGGCATCATCGATCATCCAGACTGATTTAACGATGATTTAACCATAAATTGATCTGATAGGGGGCTATTAGTAAATGATGGATAGTAAACAAGGCCTGGGAGTAATCGAATGAAAATGAATGAAGGTCAACACTCAACAGAGAGCAGCTCATTAGATGATCTCTAAATGTGGTGTACGAAAAT